TACTAACTACTTACTTACTACTTACTACTACTCTCTTACGTTACGTTAACGTAACGGTACGTACTACTTACCCTTACGTTAACTAACTAACTTAAGTAAGTAAATAAACTAAACCTAACTAAACTAACTACTCTCTCTCTCTCTCTCTCTCTCTCTCTCTCTCTCTCTCTCTCTCTCTCAAACTCACATCTCCCTTATCAAAACCACTCTCCCTAAAACTCACATCTCCCTTATCAAACCATCTCAAGTAAGCCTTATCTTAAATAAAGCTAATTAACATTTGTCTCTTTAAAACTAACTTAATCCTTTGCCTAATATTAAAACCAACCATATCCCCAAAACAACTCACACACTACCCTATTCACTAAACAACAACAAAAATTAAACTATTAAAATAAAATAAAATAAAATTTTGATAACCTCAAATTTTTATTTGCATGATTCTCTTGGGGTTGGGAGAAGCTCGACCTCGAGCTTATAGAACTCGAAAATTTTCCTTCATTATCTTCTCCACTTTGTTCCAACTGCAAATTTTCACCATTGTCTTGTTGAACTTTTGATTGGTGATCCTAAGCGAACAAAGTCATGATATGCTCAGGAAAGCGGCTGGGGTCATGGCGGTACCATCCCCACACCTAGTCACCACGTTGTAATTTCCAATCCCACCACTAACATGTTCAAAAAGCTAACTCCTAATCTACTTGAAAAAACGGGTAGGGACCTGTCTTCCCCACTGAATTACCCAAAAAAAAAAGTCATGATATGCTTAAAAAATCAATTGTGATGCCAAAATCTCTTGCACCTTCCACCACTTGTATTTTATGAGTCATAATCAACTCAACTTCCACAGCAAGTTGTGATGTGTGATTAATGCTTAGATCGGTAGTTGATTCTTGATCGTCTACCTCTTCATGTTCTTCTTCCTCTGATTGCAATCTATGAAGTAGATCTCGTAGACGCTCTATAGGACGTGGATCTTGTGTGCAAATTTGTTCTTGATGTTCTGGATCAACAGCCCGAGTCGGCCGGGGAACTCGACTTGTCTCTACGGCGAGATTTGGTGCTAAACCCACGTGGTCGCGAGTGCCCTCTTCTCGATGAATTACATACTCAAAATGTTGCAACCTCTGATCCAACCATTGCAACCCCAGATTAGTTTCACTTATGTCTTGTCGAATACCCTCCAAGGTTGTGTTCATGCTCTTCTGAATTTGCTGACCCACCAACTCCATGATTTGTGGCAATACACCCTCGAATGTAAGAACAGGTTTCGACAGCATTGTGATTGATGGATCTTCTTGCTTTAATACCAACTGATGCAAGGAAGATGGAGGGAAGAAATAATTAAAACAAAAATAATAATAAAGGGTAAGAGAGTATACCCTCTCTCTTGGTCTACAAGGGAGTCCACCCCAAAAAGATCTTTTCACAAGATCAACTCTTTACTCAATTCCCATCCCTCTGTCACAAAGAAACATCTCCCTTTTAAATAAACTTAGAAGAAATAAATAAATAAATAACTCATAAAAATACTCTCTCTCTCAAACTCACATCTCCTTTATCAAACTACTCTACCTAAAACTCACGTCTCCCTTATCAAACCATCTCAAGTAAGCCTTATCTAACTAATCCTAATTAACATTTATCTCTTTAAAACCAACTTAATCCTTTGCCTAATATTAAAACCAACCATATCCCCAAAACAACTCACGCACTACCCCTTCACTAAAACAAAAATTAATCTATTAAAACAAAATAAAATAATATTTTGACAACCCCAATTTTTTTTTGCATCACCAATTGATCGATTGTTAGGTTTCACAAAGAAAAAATCAGTCACGTAAAAGATTGGATTTTTAGGGGGGAAGGGGTCAACCAAGCCTTATTGTGAACATGTTGGGAGAAGCAAGGCAAAGGGCTTTACAGGAGGCAACTGCAAAGATGCATGTGTGGGATTTGAACAAGACCACTTCATATTATTGGAAATGAATAAACATGAGACATGATGCATACTGAAAAGGTCAGGGACCTCATCATCATGCACTGCCCTTGTGAAAGTGTAGTTCCAAGTGGTATTAATCTTTGAATTTTGAAACATTCGGTTAAAGTGGAATTGAGCAAGTTGCTACATTAAAGAGGTTGGGCTACTGATCGTTTAGAGGCTGATGACCGATCCAAGTGTCCAGTCAGAACAAGACAACAAGCATAGAAATTTTTGTAGCAACCAGATATGTCAATGCCGATGGGCCTTTTATTTGGAAACCAACCAAGGTTGTCAGTCTCGTTTGTAGGAAGGAATACATCAAGCCAGAGTAGATGATGATGATTAGCAAAGGCACACCACCATTTGCCAAATAGAGCCAAATTCGTATGTCTGAGTTTGCGAATACCTAATCCGCCCACCTTTTTGGGTGTACAAACCTTTTCCCAAGATACTAGATGGATTTTCTTTATAGAATATCCCCAAATCAAAGGAATTTTTTCATAAGTTTTTTTGAGATTTCGATGATGGATGCAAGTATGAGAAATGAAGACATAAAATATATGGGAGAATTGGATAAGGTGGCTTTAATCATAGTGATTCTCCCTACAAGAGAGAGAATTTGACCTTTCTAATTGGCAAGGCGCTTTTCAAGTTTTTCTACAATTGGGTGCCAGAGGGCTTCACAAAGGTTACCTAAGGTAGAACCTAATAGTTGACGAGAATGTTATCTACCCCACAACCTAATCTGATGGTGAAAGTTAACAGGTGACCATGAGAAATAGCTAAACCCATGGTTTGGATTTAGTCATGTTGATTTTCATGTAGGAGGCTAGGTGAGATCACGGCAAATACAGCCAGAGGCTATCGACTTGATCTTGTGAGGCATCATAGAAAATGAGGGTATCATTCACCTCGCTACCACAATTACAAAGACACAAAGGGAATGGAGAGAGATGACTTCGTGTTTGATGTGAGAATGCTAGAGTTGAAGGAGCCAAAGTGTAATGTTATTCTTTATCTAGCAACTTAACAATATGGATATCATCATTGTCGTCATCAGAGCCTTTATCCAATTAATTGGGGTCGGCTACATGAATCTTGGTCCACCATTCTGCTCTATCAAGGGATGTACCATGTAAAATTCAAACTAGTACCATTCCCATATAGCAATCTCTATTTCCAAGAAAATCATCAACAGCATTGTAAGGCCTTCATTTTGAACTTTTCATTCATCTAATAGTAAACAGCTATAGAAACCATCAAATTCATTATACTACAGTTGTATCATCAAATTAGAGAAGGACGACACATAACAGAGAAAATACACCATCTGGGAAACAATAATCAAAATTGTATCCCTTTCAAGAAAATTGTTAAGCATCACAAAGACTCAAACCATGATCTAGTGAGATCATGGAAAGAATAGCTTGCATGAGGAGTTCCTTTTGCCCCCCTATGCAGCTATGCCAATGATATTCATGGATCTAGGTTACATTGGACAAGGAAAGGATGATGTCAATGAGAAGAATATGCCTAGAAAATAATCCAGTATGGGAAGAACCTTACTGAGTGAAAGTAACAGTTATAAGGAGGACAGCTAACAACAGGAAACGAGATTGAAGAATGGGGATCCACGCCCATGGCTCAAGTGGAAAGAACTTGTAGTCACAATCTTGGGGTGGGTTCAAATCCAGCCCATCAAGCCTCCGAAGGAAAGAGATTGAAAAAATGTCTTCATTATTTTATTGTGAAACATGCAGAAAAAATTGAAGAATTGCCTAGGCTAGGCCAAGTGGTCAAAGGAGATTGGTTTAGTGAGGAAACAGCTATAGTATCAGAGGAGTTTTCCTTTTCAGTGCAAATGAGATTGGTTTAGTGAGGGAGAACACCCATTGTTCTGTACCCTCCACATGTAGCCCATCCACTACTGGAATCATATATCCAGCCTCACCAAAAATATACTTTGATTGTGATTAAACAAAAAACCAAGATCATAATGGGGCCTCACCAAAATTAATCTTTGACAGAAAACAAAAACCAACTTAGTCCCTAACATATAACAGGCTCTGAGTACCCTTTTTTGACCATGCAGTTGGCTAATGATTGGAATATGTCCTCATGGTACCTCACTAATCAGAACCCACATAGTGGCATCCAAAACAATAGCTGCCAATACACCCACCATAAATCAGTTCTCCTTGAGCCAATTTTCTTGAATTCAATGCTACCATGCAAATCACTTAGGACTAGACAGCTGTTTGCAACTGGAGGCTTAAGTGACTTGACCACCCAAGTCACCCATTATGATATACAATCTAACAGCTCAACATGGAGCAAGTCCCCCATAAGGATTTCTACTCTTTCCAGCATATCATAGCCCCAATCCATGGAAAGAGATGAACCATAACGAAAAAATTTATAAGAATCACAAATGCCTCCCACAGAAACTTCACTGCTTGATCCATGTAGTTTATAACGGACCGAGCATAAGGATACGCTGATTATGCTTCTAGGGAATTAAAATACATGACGAGCCTAGCACAGAATTTCTCAAATAGTTAATCAAATTTACAAAATAACACAAAATCATCTATGACCTCAACCATGCAATTTGCAACAACGCAAACACTTGAATAAACCGTTTAAGATAAAACCCTAACTAAGTCACAACTTGGGAACCTCCTTGTACTACTTTGTTGATCTACATCTGAAAACATTTAGGAAATACCACCTAATCCCTTTCACGTGTCCTCCAATCTTCCTCCCAAAATCTCACTTTTATGATATTAGAGTGATAAATGGCAAGAACATGAAACCCTGACTCTTTGAATGACTCAATCTCACATGCAAGGAAATCCAATTCACGCTAACAATGTCAAACCATATTTGATTGGAACTGCATTCGCTGCTCTGAAGCATTCACTGGACCAGTGTAACATATATCTTATACTCCTTGAGTTGTGACTTCATTCTAGTTATTGGTCGAAAAGTTCTTTCATTCATCAAGAAAATTAAGTCCCACGTGCATGAATTATGGAAAGACCTGAAGGGCCATTGATAGGCATACATAAGAAGGTTGTGCTACAATAGCTAGATTATTTGGATTGTTGAAGCATCTTGGTCAGAATTCGGCATGTAACCGACCCAATTTTTGTCACACAATGATTCTTCTTTTTACGATCATTGCGCCATACAATTGATAGAATGGATAAAGCCCAACATTCTTTTGAAACTTACTATTCCAAACAAAACAAAAAAAATGAAAAGAAAGAAAAATTTACAGATCAGCAAGCCCCATATGTCACAGCAGTTCACATCTAAAGCCATTAAAAAAGACTTTCAAACAAAATAATAGCTTAAAATCCTCCAAAATTCAAACTGTAGAAGAGGAATAAAGGAACAACTGGAAATAAAAGCTATGGTTTTGTACCTTGGGTGTCTTTCCATCAAGTTGCGGGAGCTCAATTTCGGGTGCAGTGGCCGGATAGGTAACGGGAATATCGAATTGGAGGTCGAATTCATATCTGAGGAGGTTGTGGATGTACCAGCACTTGCCCGTCCACCTGGTTCCATCAGCGCTGCCACTGATCCGAAACCAGTCGTTGTCATTGGATTTGTTCATCGTCATGTATTTAATGAGAGCTGCATACTCCTCTTTGAGCCTCTGAGTCCAGGCCTCTCCATCCCTTGGACCCGCCCTCGTTTTCAGCAGAGGGATTTGACTTAGGGTCGACTTCGTGGTCGTGTCCCATCCCCCCGTCGCCATTTTTTCTCCTCGCTCCTCTCCTTTCTTCTATTTCTCTTTGTCTCTCTGAATTTTACAACTAGTATCGACAAATTAGTCTGCTTAGAAATGAAGCAATTTATTTAGGGAGAGTTTTCCTTCCTCTGCGTTCTTTCCAAACCGCACTGATTTTATCCGGGGTCAATGTTTAATCGAAATACAAGGGAAAAGTTTGTATAGTTTGCCATCGTGGTCAAGTCTTTTTCAAATTAGTTGGGGCGGCCACATGAATGGGTAGTCGTTCGGCCCTATTAAAAGTGATTCTCTTGATGGAAGGAGGCGCATATCTTTTCTCCCTACCTCTATCTATATCATTCTAGACATATTTTTTTGTCATTATTTAGTTTTCTACATGAACTAAATCAAGTAATTTATTATCTTTTTATTATTTAAATAATAGTAAAATCCATTGTAAAAAAATTGTGTAAAAGAGATTATTGGAACTGAAAAATCTCATTGATCACCTGGACCTCAAGATATATATATGTGAAGCAAAAAAAAATATTTAAGTTCTAAAAGTATTGTGTCTTGTAACAAGTTATATTGATAGTTTATTTTCAAGTTTTGGGTTTAATAGATATGCTTGATTTGCACTATTTTTTAAATTTTATACTTCATACCTAGGGATGAAAATAGATTTTAAGTAATCACAAGATTTTCGACGCCAGAACTACATCTCCTACAAAATTAAGAAGTATGCCTTACTTAGAGTACAAGGAGGGTGGCTTATATAAACTTGACCCAAGTGCAAAGGGTATCATAAATGGCCGGTATTAGTGGGATTGTATGCTATGTGACTATGGGATTGTATAGAATGATTCTATTTACTTTTGATACAAGGTGGTCACAATTATTCATTACCATCTGATGTGAAATTTGATGGCTTGGATGTGTTACAAAATTCGAGAAAATTTCTTTTGAAGTGTGAGCTTGGTCAATGGAATGATTATAACCACCCCATTTCACATCCAATGATCAAGATTAATGTGACCCTACCAAAGGTAAACTGTCTCATTCTATACTTTTCCTATGACTATTTACATTTGGTATAAAGAAGTTATAATCACCCTTAGGCATTGGATGGAAAATCCAACTGCTTGAAGTGCGTAACATAATTCAAAGAATTTTATTTTAGATTTTGTGCCCAATCAATGTTACATCCCGCAGCCCCCCTAATTTCACAGTTAATAATAATTGCAACTTCTCTATATCAAAAATAAATAGTCTGGTTATATACATTTCGAAACTTTTTATCCATAGTTTGTTTTTGGCATCCAATGGTTTGGAAGATAATAGTATTATCATCATCATAAGAACCTTCTCCTAACTATTTAGGATTTACTATATTTAGTTCGTCATTCTACTCAATCAAGAACCATATCATTTCTCATTACTTCTAACCGCTTTTCTTTTGAGTCTACCCGTTGTTTTTTTTTACCCTTTTACTTGAACAAAATCGCACCGCCTAACAAGTGTCATACTAAGTCGGTATTTCAAATGATCAGCCAGCATAAAAGAAAGTAGACATAGGTGGGTTGGCCATGTACAACACCTATTTAGACACAATAGCATGGTGTTTGAAAATTAAGCACCGACGATTGTATGCTTTTGATCAGTGAATGTACCCCCATGCATACCCACTGTGCCCGAGATTATAGTAGAAATGGCGAGAAGATCCTATGAGTAAATCACTTATACCAATCTGCGTCAGTTTAATCACCACCTTTCCACTTTTTCACTTGTTTGATTGTAAAGCTTCGAAGTTGAAAACTATTTTGATTAGCTAATAAATTTAATTTTCTTCAAAAATAAAAAGAAGATAATAACTTTACATTATAAAAGAATAAGAGCGTTCCTGCTGGAGCATAGTGTATATTTTTACTCCTTTGGTTGGAAGACCTGCTTGGAGTTTTTCTTCTTTTTTTTTTTTCAACCTGAAATTTTGGGAACCACTTCAGATCAATAGATGGTTATTTTCAAAAGAAAAAAAATTTGTATTTTGAGGTTTTCCAACACTTTGATCTCACCCTTTAAAAATTGAACGGTCTTTATTCAATCCACAGAAGGTGCAATTATGAATTTTGGTTTTATTCAGGTTAATTTATGGTTAAAGAGGTTATATCCTCAATATATTGGGTCCTAAAATTGATCTTAGATGGGCATTTACCCAAGAGAATAAAGGCACAGCATACTCCCTCGGGATCCATTACTAGTACAACGATGGCAAGATTCGCTGGACCAAGTCCTCTTAGTACGGTGTGCGTGCAAGGGCATGTGAACAATTTTGAGCGCGTGTTGTGTACCGCAGGAGCATATGCTTTCACAGGCAAACTTCTTGTCCACTGTCAAATCGTTGGAATAAATAATTTAAAAATTGAGGCTTTTATTCTTAAATCATACCAGCCAAAAAGATTGAAGGGTCCGTGTTCAATTCATGGGGGTGATTTTGTTCATATACCTCCAGAGGACCTTTCAGATTTTTTCGGGTTGGTAGCAAGGTTGACTGGGTTGTATCCAAAATCTGGGGTCCTTGCCCAATAGAGAAAATAGAGTCCTAGTGATAGTTTTTCCAGTAAATTATCTGTCCAAATTGTGTAACTTCTACATATAATTTCATATGTAACATGTAACAGGAGCCATATTCCATATATTAGGGGGGGAATTTTTAGATCTAAAATTTTGGAATCAGCTTCCGAATAACAGAATAACTAAACATATAAGTTAAACAAGAACAGCTGTTGAGCTTTTAAACACCTATATTTGATCTTCCAAAAGTTGGACAGTCTATATTCAACCCTCGGGCATAAACTGAGATCTGACCAGACTGGCAGTCCGACCCAAGGATCAAAGCGTTCGAAATTTGCAATGAAATATTACTTCTTTATTAAGGTGCCTTAATGACCTACCTGATTTATAAGAATCAAACTGGACTGGCAGTTCTTAAACATCCACAATTCTCTAACATACTTTTACAAGTTTTCATAGCTTATAAAAACTCAAGCCCTTAGAAAATCTTTCCATGGAAATTATTTCAAGAAGCTGAGGTACTCTGCATACGTTAAATTTATAACACTTTGGAAAACACGTATTTTACATTACCCAGAAGGCATATTCAATTTGTTCCTACAAATATTATACTCACACATCTCAATAATAATGAAGGCAAGATGGAGAATTAGCATTTATGTAGCGGACTCCAATTAATTGAAAAAAAGATATAATGATAATGATGATCTTAATAGCAATGAGGAGTTTTTACCGAACTGTATAAGTGGCTCTAAAAGGTAGAAGTATTTATGACATCTACCCAAAGGTTTTTCAACTGAAAGGTAAAAGCAAGCACATGAGGTTACTTTATGTGACCAATTTTAGCAGATTCCGACTGCATATTGCAAAATCGGACTGCAAATTATCAGGCATATCGTTGAGGCAACTTAACAAAGTAGCAAGACTCCATTGCAAATTTCGGACACCTGATTCATGGGTTTCTACTAAAATAAAAGGTTCTAGCTTAAATGGCAACAACAACAATAATAAAAGGTGTTGTCAAAATTCAACACACTTGGGGTTCAAGCTTTTGGCGTGGAGTTTACGGATAACAGTCCATAACTTAACACATTATTATGCTCAAGAAATCCCAGTTTGGCCTCCAAAATTTCAGCCCTAACACCTTCTTATAAATGACAACAGCACATCCACAAGTTTCAGTGACAAATATAGGACAGTTTTTCATGCAAATGAAACTTTACCCTAGTTTAAAGGAACAAAGTGATGAAATTAACAGAAACACATGTATTTGGCTTGTTTGTGGGATCTCTTAGTCTCATAAAAGTTCATCTCCTCAATCTATATTGCTACAAGCTCTGCATTGCACATTCAAATTCAAAAGAAATTTGAGAGGAAGTTCTACACTGGCTACAGTTAGTTTCCACATTCCACAACCCCGCACCTGTGTTCGGTCACAATCACCACATTGCTTAAAGAGTCAATTGGGGAATGTCTCAACATCATCAATCCATTATATAGGAATAAAATTATCATCTAAGGGGGAAAGCAATCATTCCATCAAAAGAAAAATAAAGCACTATAAAAAGAACCCAGCTTTTGTCGACTGGATGAATAACTGAACATCATTAAAGAAACAAAACAATCCTAGAAACCAAAATAAAATGAGAAAGAAACAGATAAGTGATAGAGACGAGGCTTTTTGCTAACTTAAGCAGCTGAATCTTTGATGCTTTGAAAAAGACTGCATCTGCAAAGACAAAGAAATTGATAAATATCAGCCTAGATGATGAGTTAAAGCCAAGTTTCAGGATAGATATAAACAAGTGATTTTTTTCCCTTGAGAACTACATAGATGCATGATTTTTTATTTTTTTTCCCTTGAGAACTAGATAGATGCAAACATGTGAGTTGGCAACTACGAATCAGCCTACCTCTACCACATTTTTGCTCCAATTTCATTCGAATTTTCCATTTCATTCATTTATATCACCTAAATCCACATATTCATAAAAGTACAATATCAATTGACATAATCACATCTGTCATCATTTGGTAGGTCCAAATAACAGCCATAATATTCTTTAATCCCAGTGAACTATTCAAACAAATGAGCGATAATGCAATCAAATTCAAGACTAGTAAGCACTCTTTAGCAATAATGTTTATTTTTGGCTAATATAAGTACCGATTGAGATAGAGGGCCACAATTACCTTCTCTAAATGGGAAGAGACCGATTGAGATAGAGGGCCACAATTACCTTCTCTAAATGGGAAGAGGCGAGAGCGGAGGACTTCCATATGATCAAATTTTGAAAGGGGATCATGGTGCTTTTATTTGATTTATTTACCCTGGTCATATCTGATCCCTTTCTAGAAAAGGAATGCCTTCTTTGAAGGTGCACCAGTCAAGTGACTTGTCAAAAAAAAAAGGTTTTGCTCTTTTCCAATTGCCATCAAAATGGAAAAACCACTATCATTATTTAGAACTCCATCTCCAACACCGCTGCATGATGTTATCATTTATATAAGGTCTCAAATCCCACATCAAACAGTAGCTTTCGAGCTCTTCTTCTGAAGTTCTCAGGGACAAAGATGAAACAATATTTTCCTGCAATAGTTTTAGATATTACAAAAATGTCCAGTACTGTCACACAGCAAAGAAAGGAGTTTCAAATGTACGCTACCTGCATAATATAGTCAAGTTTATACATATTGTATACAACCCTCATCATCACAAAATAATCTGAAACTTCCAAGCCATGATGCATGCTGCATCTTGTACCCACCTGAAAAGATAGGAAAAAACAAACCAACCAAAAGTGCAATGTCTTACAAGAAAGATGACGTATAATATTCGTGAGAAACACTAAGTATTTATCAAAATTTAGATCATCAATTCATCTGTTAGAAGCCATATAAATAATTCACAAAAAAAAAAAAATCATCATGCACCAAACATACATTTACTCAAGCACAGAGGCAAATGCATGTCAACCAGCACGAGTGCATGCACGTGCACACACACACAACCTCTCAAAAGGAGCAGTTGTGTCCTCAAAGGAGCATATCTATTAGGATCATGTATATTCTTTTTTTAATGCATAAACAAAAATTGATGCTGTTTGTCAAGTGTGCATAAGAGGTAGCTTTGTCACTAGTGTGCATAAGAGGTAGCTTTGTCACTTACATCTTTCATGCGCTTAAAAGACGGATATTTTGGTCATCAAGCCAAAAACTTGAAAGAGACGAACCAAGAAGAAACTTAGAATGAAAAAGTCAAGTTAATGCTGTCCCAACACTTTCTTAAAGAAGCAACCTGATTCACTTTGAACAAAATCAACTATCCATACTGATTATAGAGAAATTTGGTTCTACAACCATGATAGAGCAGGAACAAGAAGTTTCATGCAAATGAATGTGATTAATTTGAACTATATTTAGAGCCTTAAGCACAGTTATATAAACTACATAAAAAAGATAAAAAGAGAATGTCGCCTCCAAACAACATCACTTTAGAAAAGATAGGTCCCTTCCAATGAAGTCTCCAGAATACAATCTATATATGAACATGTGTAATTCTACAAAAAAAAATATAGAATGAGACCATTTGCCTTTGATACAAGGTGGTCACATTAATCTGGACCATTGGATGGCTGCAATTATTCCATTGACCAAGCTCAGACTTCAAAAGAAATTTTATTGAACTTTGTAACACATCCAAACTATCAATTTCACATCAAATGGATGTAAGGAATTGTGACCACCTTGTTTCAAAGGTAAATAGTCTCATTGAATACAATCCCATTTTAGAAATATATATTGTCATATGTATATTCCCATTTTAGAAACGGGTGCGGTTTGTATAGAGCGTAGGCTCT